TACTGTATAGGTCTTGTGGCCAGATAAAAAGATGACCGATGATGACTCTGCCTAGAAATCCCACGCGATTACCCTTAATCTGGCTGAGGAAGAAATAAATTATGAAAACTTGGGACCTCGTACAGATCATAAAGATAAATTCCGATAATTAATTGATAGTTCTATTTCGATTGTCAAAGATTTGAAAATTTTGAAATAAATAAATAAAAACGGATAAAAACAATAGAAAGTTTTTAGTCAATCGGGAATTCTTTTTTGTCAATTCTGCCATTAGAATTCCAATAATGTTTGTGCTTTAATCGTTATCAAAAAGAGATCACAGATTTTTAAGACGACTTTTTTGAGACTCAAAGGAATGTGCTCTTTTTTTTTTCTTCTTTTTATTAAACTTTAAATCTCGATAGTCTGGTATTTTGTCGGGTCGATTGGAACGAGATTCCACCAGATCTGATGGATAACACATAAACACACGAATGTCTTCATTTGATTCTAAATTACGACTATCCCGTGCCATTCTTTATAGTTTTGATTGTGTGATGACTTCAAACATTCTTTGGCACCGAAGGTTTACTTAACTCTTCACATATTTCTACCATAGGAATTTTGTAAATTTAACCCGATTTTAATATTAAATCAGTTATTTGTTTAATGCTTATAATTTTAGTCAATCAACGACGGTAATTACTAAGAAACCGGAGACGTTTAAATTCCAAGATTTTTTAATATAAAAATCATTCGTATTTGCCATATTAATATTTATGTATTTTTACAGTTTTAAGATACAAGTTTTGTAAGTTTTTATACGGGACAAGGACTCATCACGAAATTTGTTAAACCAAACCGGAACCGAAGAGAATCACAATCAATTAACCACGCGATTATTGTTCTTATTCTCATAGAATCTGTATTAGGTTTTAAACGAAGTGTTTCTAATCGAATCTTAACTCTTCTTTTCCCCCTTCTTCGCCACTTAACCCGTTCGAGAAATATTCAAGTTCAATGCTGTAGATGCCAAGACGGTCGAATGCCTTTTTTAAGTGTGTTTATTTAAAATATCTTAAATTAATTACACGGTAGACGAACCAAACAAAAAAATAGTACGAAAAAAGTCCTCCGACTACCGAAAGACTATTATTTAGGTCGATAATGTTGCCCCTAACGGTGAAAATGAAAGTGATAAAGTCTTCTTTATGATGGGTGGGCTCGGCCATCGACAGTTAGCTCGTCGATTCGATTATTATAATTAAAACAAACTCATCATTAGCAATTATTTTTACTCCAAATAAGATTTGTCATCTTCGATTAGTTCCGTGCACTCTATTTAATTTTCCCTTCGATCGTCGTTGCGCTACACGACAAATATTCATCGAATACTCGTATTTCTAGCAAACGAAAATATATTATTACTTTCAACGCGATATAAATAAAAATCTTTTGATCTATAGTTCTCGGTTCTGTATAAAAAGATAGCTCGATTAAAAAAAAAAAAGCGAATTGTCGTCGGTGGTGGCGCTCACGTGATTTTAATTGATCGCCAGCGATTAAGGCAGGAAATTGCTCGGTGTAAATTGACCTTTACTTCGATTGTTACGCCGATGCGTTTTGCATGCGAGCGATTCGGTGTTTTGCAAATAAAAAGTATCTCCATTGAAGAATCAAAAATAACGTGGAATGTGCCGTTGCCAGGCCGACTTTGCGTGCTCGGTTACGATAAAGTGAACGGCGGGAAACGCAAATGAGCCATTTTGAAAGGATAAAAATTCGGAACTTAAACACTCAGTTACTGTGTAATACTGTGTATATAATTAGCTGGTTCTTTAACTCCATACACCGACCAAGATATTCTCGTCACGGTCATCAGCCCGAGGCTAGTTCCGGTTGCTAGTCGAGGTATCTGGCCTTGTCCGATCAAATCGCCCTTCTCCTAAGAATGGTCATTCCACTGTCGGATGTCACGTGGGCATTGACGTCATGGTGGAGGGAAAGCCCAATACTCCTTCCGCAAACACCGCCGCGGAACATGCCACCCCCGCCGCGGCAAAATATTGACACGGAATTCTTAAACTGGGCGGTGGTGCCGATCGCCCGTTCTACTACTTGGACGGGGGTGTCTGTGGCAGAAGGATGGACGATCCTCCTCGTTTTACTTTTTTTGTTTGTTTTTAGTTATGGCCATCCCCGACAGTTCTGGTCATAAAGGAGTACTATGGAAGCAGTAAGACTATATGGTATTAAGTGGAACAACGAAAGGGTTGTTAAAATGTGCGGTGTCGAGTCGATTGCGGATTTAAAATCTGGAGGCGGCGGACACGAATCTGCTTCCGCGTTTAAGACTGGAAAACGAAATAGAAACCAGATTTAAATAGTTGTATAGTCACGTGAACATTACGTCAAATAGGGGACATTCCAGAACGTGGCAGGTGTCGCTGGCACTTTTATATTCGGGGTCGCTAGTTTTCCGAATGGACGAGTTTCTCTTTCTCGTCGTCGGCTCGGACACTTAACATGTTTGGCATACCGTGGAGGCCACTACCACCAAATGCATCCCGTTGGCCATGTTTGGTCGTCTTTTATCACTTCCCTAACAGGATCTAAACTGGTCTATCCGGCGAGGTTCGAAATGAAATGGGGAATAGACATTTGCATAATAGGGAGAATTTTTATGCGGCAAGTGGGAGGCGAGTAATTAACACCATTAAAATCTCTTTCGTGTGAACAGCAGTCAAGCGATACATTCCAGTCATTCATTATATCAACTAGCACTTAAGTGATAGGTTTGCCAACGCGTACATTGTCATTAAACGTTTAACTGTAAAAATGACAACCGTTTTCCGGTTACGTTAGACTTAATCTGGAGGCAGTGAAGCGATCAGGACGTCCCTCTTCGCAAGCTATTGTCTTTTCCAGCACAGCGTCGTCATTAGGGACATCGGGTTGGGAGGAAGAAGAGCAGCAGGCAGAAAAAAAGGCCGATGTCCGTAGCCGGCGGCTAAGGAAACGCATACCTGACAGGTAAATCGGTGAGGTATGTGCGGAGCGACCGAAGGTGGCTGGGTGCGTCACCTGGAAACCGGTTAGCGGAAGATGAGACCGGACCGGATATTGAAATGCAGAAAAAGTCTTTTGTTGCACATGGCAGGAAATACTTGGACTTCCGACGTTGGTACCTTCCACCGCGGCCGTTTCGGAGGCAGTGGCCAACCGACGCTTAATGCCGTTAAGATGATGAATGGGGCGATAGATGGTCGGTGAGCGACATTGTGTTGCCAGACAATGGAGCCTTACCGCGTCCGCAGAAATAATGACCAGCGATCGGAAAAGGAATGCGGGAATTAATTATGTACGTCAGCCACCAATTTGGCCGGCGGCCGCCGCTACAAGTATGTCGGTCGGCGCGAAAATGGTTGTATAATTGAGCGACGAAAACTCGTCCGATCGGAATTCCTGCGGCACAAACACATCAATTTCCCGGCATTCCGAGTTCTTTTGTGTTGGCACTGCTAATCTGCCCGCCCGTGCGCTACCGACTGTCATCTCGGAAACTGTCCGCTTCCTGACTACCGTTCTCGGAATTGTCGACCGCTCTCTTTCCTAGTATTGCTCTTTATCTTCCACTTTCCCAATCACCAGCGTCAGGTGGCATTTACGTCTCGGCTGGCACCGCGATAAAATAATATCTGCTTTCTGCTAATTGCGTCCATTTCGCTTTCCGTGCTCGCGCGCATCTGCCGGATAATTAACGCGCTGCATACAGGTTCCACTAATCAACTGCCCAATACTTCCGGTCTTTCTCCCCCGGGAGATGCCAGCGCTTTTTTGCGTTTCCTTTCGTCGTCGACCGTCACCTGCTCCGTCACGACAGACGCACTTTGGGCTTAGAAACGGGAAATTCCCACTGGGATGTTTTTTCTTGCCAGGCGGAAGGACCGTCTCGCTCAACCCACCTACTGGGTGGTCTGCTGGTAACATATCGGTGGCGACATCTGGTGACGTCTTTTCGTTGTTCTAACCATTTCTTTTTCCAATGGAAAACGACGACGTGGTCGTCCGTCTTTTCCAGTTATTAAATCGTGTTATTTGTTATGGCCAAACTTTTATTCCTTTTTTTACGACCGAAAAAAAGCGTTTGTGGAAGCGTGAAGGTTGACACTGTCGACACCTGTTGTCTATCGTAAACGGTCCATTCACGAACCGTGATCGTCTCATCGTGAGGAGCCGAAAAATCCAATTTACTTGACTCGGGGAGACACGAAGCGGCCGATCACAAGAAGTAGGCCTCGAGTTGAACAATCGTTCCCACGTTCCCCCAGCTTGTCGTGAATGGGCGGCAGGTCAACATTCTTGCATTTTCTCTCCTTACATTCCAGGCATGTCTCCACCTCACACGGTATTGGGCCCTACGGCTGCCATACTTTTCCTTCACCCCAGACCTCTGCCCCTACTCACTCGGATGACCGCTAAGTTGACTGCAAGCCCATTTTCTATCTCCTTTTTCAATACCTCTTTTTCTCTCTTTGCACCTGTTACTAATTGGACTTAATTAAAACAGCTGGATCTAGCCTCTTTCTACTTATTTGGCTAATTCTGACGTAAAAATCTTCTTTATTATGGTTCCTAAAATCTGTTCCATTTGAAACATGGTTTATTTTTTAACATTCAAATAAAAGTAATCAATTTTAGATAAGCATTGATAGTATCTGCATAGACTAATTCGTCCATCTTAAAATAGTTATTCCATAATTTAGCAAAGTAATTATCATTGTAGAAATTAAGCATTTAATTCTTTTCATTGTCAAGAAATAATTTTTATATCTGAAAGTGAGAAAATTTCTTGCACAGTTTAAAAACTTGATTTATCAGCATGCAACAGTTAATTAATTATTTAGAAATGTAAAATAGAAATACAAATATAGTATTAATATTTTAAATGATATTTATGCATAAATTATTTTTTTCTAATTCTAATTTAAGTAGACTATGCTTCATTACTGGACTTTCAGGTTACTTGATGTTTGCCATGGGCATCGTCTAGTCCAAGAACGCCAGCTTGTTCTCTACCTTGTGTTTGAACATGTCGAACAAGATCTGGCACACTATCTCGATAACTGTCCCGAACCTGGATTGGGTCCCGAGAAAATCAGGGTAAACGTATTAAAAAAAAATCTAGAGATTGTAATCGAGATAATATTGGATATTTGGAATCTAATTATTAATTATTCCTAATTTTAGCATATTATGTTTCAAATGGCATGTGGTGTAGATTTTCTTCATTCGAATCGCATAGTCCATAGAGATCTGAAACCTCAGAATGTTCTCATTACTAACTCTGGCGAAGTGAAGTTAGCGGATTTCGGTTTGGCTCGGATTTACGAACAGCACACTGCGTTGACCTCGGTGGTAAGAGTTTGTAGTTTATTGTGATTTTAACTGTTAGAGCTTGATGGCAAGTGAAGTTTCTTGTTAGGTTGTGACACTGTGGTACCGTTCTCCGGAAGTCCTACTTCAGTCAAGTTATGCCACGTCTGTCGATATTTGGAGCTGTGGTTGTATATTTGCAGAACTTTTCCGGAGAAGGTAGGATTTAACACAATTAGAATAATGAACAATGTTCTGTTTAGTTTGTAATAAATTTTAATTGAAATTTTGTTTAGACCTTTGTTTTGTGGTCAGTCAGAAGCAAATCAATTGGGTAAAATTTTTGAGTGAGTCATTTCTATCTTTGTTTTTACTTTTCTTATTGATTACTTATGAACCAGACAATTTATTTTGTATCAAATATAGTCATACATCTTAATTTATAAATTTAAACAGAATTATAGGTACACCTCCTGAATCAGAATGGCCAAGAGATATATCCATACCTTGGACAGCCTTTAGACACTGTACAACAGTCCCTTTAGAAACAGTTGTTCCTGCTATTTGTCCTGAAGGAAAAGATCTATTGCAGGTTTGTTAGTAACAAATATTCCTTATTCACTTTTGATTAAAACTTTTTCATAGATTTAATTTGTATTATTGTAGAAAATGCTCATCTTTGATCCAAACAAACGGATAAGTGCCAAACAAGCTCTAAAACACAAGTACTTTAACGGTTTGGAACCTTATGTGCCACCAGTACCACCTCGTAAAACTCGATCCAGAGTATCTGTAGGAACTACACCTGGAACAAGCAGCTCCAAAACTTCTGATTAAGTCAGGAACAAAGAAAAAAAATTTGTACATTGCAATAATCTATAACTGAACAATTTTATATTATACACATATGAAGTATTTATGTATATGTGTAGATAAATAATTTATATATCCATTCACACATATACAGTATCATCAGAATTGTGAAGAAACGTTTAAAAAAATGCAATGCAAACTCCTATGCAATGCAATGCCAATTTGAGGATCACAATATAATTGGTGTAGCCTCATACAGTATGTAAATACTTGGTCAGCAATACTAGAGTGAAGTTTTGTTAAGGTATAAATGATGTGCAAAATCTGTACGCTGTAAATTACCAGATAACATTTATTTATATAAAATGAATCGTAAAGAGAACTACACATTTACAATTTTATGGAATATAGATTTTAAATACACTTGCCTTTCTAAACATGTGGGAAGTCAAAGTTATATATATATGTATACATACACACAAAAAAGTTTTAAGAATTCTTAACAATTTGTACAAATTTTATATCATACATAATATATTTTTCTATATTTAGTACATCTTTACATTCCAGATAAATAGTACAAACTACTTTTTCCAAAATTGTGAAACTATAGGCAAAGTTAAAAATATCAAATGCCAAATAAATTTGACAGGCTGACATTTATTTATATATATAAATATAAAACAGTATTATTAATTTTAGTTTTTTTTTTTATAAATTAAATATTCTTTGACTTCCAACATGTAATTACTGTTATGAAATATTTTGGTATTGTACAACTACTTAGAATTTATAGATTATGTTTAAACTTTTCTAATATAAATTGATAACAATTCTCCTCTGATTAATTTTTCAACAACAAAATGTGTTTGTATTGAAAACTTTTTAAGTGGCTTGAAGAATATGTTTTTTAAGTATTGGATATCATGATGAGTTATCATGATGGATTGTGGTAGAGTGTATCACTCATGTTAGAGAAATAGAGGGACCAACACAGCATTAGTTTCAAAATAGATTTGGCAATATGAAAAAATGGATTAGTTTTAAAATTTTATAGGAATTTTTTGTAATTTTGAGCTTAAATTCACCACCAAATGTATTTGTATTAACTGCTAAACTACTTTACTACTTGATATTTGGGTATGAAATAATTCTCAGGCAATATTTACATATCAAATAGAACTTTGCTATTTGATGAACTTAACGTTAAAATTAGATTTTTGTTTTAAAGATAAAGGCAATTCTCTCAGGGATTATTCTAACAGAAAATAATAACGCATAATCTACTTACTGTGTGGCCTTCTTTTTTAATCATGCCTTACCAAAGAGCTATGCACAAGGTATGAAAATTACAATAAATATTATAGAAATGATTTACATTTTTAGAACTATTGTTAATGATTAATGTCAACATTTAAATGATAACTATTTTATGGACCCACATTTTGGAGACCAGTTCTCATCTAATGCAACTGGTAAATTCAAACTGAAATGTGTAGTAATGGAGGTTGTCAGGGAATTCTACCTGGTGCTAAACTATTACACATAATAAAATAATTCCAATAAATTGATATATACATATTTTTATAACTGGGACCAATGTATCATAAGGGATTATATCAAAGTATACATTTATGTAATCATTCATGGGTGTTTTTGTGTGTCAATGCCAAGGTGATGTAATCACTGAATTTATGAATTTTACCCGAGAAATGGATTGTGATATTTCAACATGTGACATGTATGCATGTAAATTGTGTTTCTGTAATAATACTGTGATGATTACTTTTGATATGGAACACTTGTAAGTAAAAGGTAATAATGCTACCTCTGATAGATAATTTGCAAAGCTGACCAATGCCGAAATAATGAGTCATTTGTACTTTTGTTGGCCTTTATTATGTTGTAATAAACTTCTACATTAGGGAAAGATGTCTTTTTAAATTTCATTTTTATCTAAAAACATTATTTTAATAAATCCAAAAATATTTATAATAAAAAACTGAAAACAGAATTTTACAAACACATTTCAGTTACTGTAAATTTTCATGGAACATCAATTTTACTGTTTCACTAATCTGGTTATGATCATTTAAATAATAAAATAAGACACTATAATTTCAGTAAATTATAAATAAAATGGTGTTTTAAAACAAAATCTTTATTTGAAATTATAAATATTTTAATTTGATTTGCATTTAGATATATGTTATTTTTCTATGCAAATATTAATATGTTATGAAAACATTTTTCTCATCTAGATATTCCAAATATTTATTCACTGCATATGTTACTAAATGAAATTTGGTTTTCTTTTATTTTCTTTTATAAAATTTGTAATTATTAAATTTTATATGATGCACCCAAAACAAATTATGCAATTAAGAATTTCATATGAAGACTGTTTTAAAAGATAGCAAACTGTAGAAAAAAATTAGAAAAAAACAACAGTTTCAGAACTGAAATTTATTTAATTTAATTTCAATATAAATATTTCACTCACTAATTTTACACAATCATTTTCCTTTTTTCTTGTTCTTCTGACTGACTGTTCCAATATTTAATGAATCTTGTTTGTTAATAATTGATAGTTGTTTTTTAAGTTCTAGAAGTAATGCTATCTCTTTATCAATTAGGTCTTTTTCTGCTTTTTGAAGTTTTAATTGTCTGACTTTATCACCCTAAAAAAATAACAATTATAATTTCTTTTAATATGTAATTTCTTAGTTGAAAATTTTACAAACTCTCATTATTTTACAAGCAGAACAGATTTTATATGTAAAATAAGATTAAACATTTGTTATTTTTATTAAATATTAAATAACTAAGACAATTTACTTTGAATCATTAGTATTTTTTGTATTTTTCATTTATAAAATTCATTATCAAATTACAATGTAATTTTCAGAATTAAATAGTTTTCAAAACAAAATTAAGAAGAAGACATTTTTTAAGGTCATATCCATTGAGTTTAATTCAATGTTATTTATTTTTTAAACACGTAAAAAAATTTTGCATTATAAATTCAGTCTAACTTCTTCAATGAAAAGTCTAGACAAACACTTTCTCATTTCTTTTGTTCAAAGGCATTTGACCTAGATGCTTCAAATATTATGTTTTTCAAGTATCTCACATTTCATTGATCTTAATAGTAAATTTTCTCAAAGATTAAGAATTTTTAATTGAAAACTAAGATTTTTAAAACAATTTTTGTATATGTAATAGTAACAAACTATTTTTTTTATAAATGAAGTTACTTTACCTGTTGAGCTACTAAATTTGTGTATCTTGCAATTTCTTGAGGATCTCCTATTTTATCATTGTTTTCCATATTTGAAATATTAATATTATCCTTATTTATGATAATCTATAAGAATTTATATAATTTAAATTTATAATTATGAAATGATCAACTATTGTTGAAAAACTAAAAAAATTTGTATATATCACCTTTCGCTCTGGGGTTGTTTGTTTACCAGAATATTTCTTTTTTAGCTCTTCTATTTGGCTCTGTTCTATTTTTTTGAACAGTGGAAAGTTCTAAAAATATACATATATTTTCATGACTGCACAAAGATATATAAATTTTACATAAAATAATATTTGTAATTTAATATCTTACTGTTCCCAACTTGTGTCCTGGTGGAAGAAAGCACGTAAAAAAAGAACTTAATACTGCACAATTTGAAGGCATATTCAATTGTTTACGCAAAATATCACTAGTATCTGGCATGTATGGCTGCAACATATTGGCAAGAAGACAAGCAATATTTGCCGATAAACCCATAACAGTTCCTGCTCTCTTTCTGAAATAAAAATATACTGTAGTTTATGTGACTCATACATTTTAGTTATATTGATTGACTCAAATTCAAATCTAATTAATTTTAGATATTTTGTATTTACTTTTGTTCTTCTGTTCCTTTAATTAATTCCCATGGTTTGTTTGCTTGAATATTTTGATTGCCAAGACGACTGATTGTCAAAATTGGACGAATGCCATCACGAAGTCTACAAAAAAAAAAAATTAAAAAGTATTAAAATTTTGACTTATCTAATACATAAATTAATTTTATTAAATTGAATGTATAACTTTTTAAAACAAGAAACTTGAAATTATATTATTGAAGTTTTTCTTCAAACTATACTCAAACTAATATGTTATAAACAAGTTATTTTACACACAAATTATGTTATAGACTTTCCTATAGATGCTGTTATTAATTTTTTCCTTCTAAATTTTAACTTAATATTGTTTTATATTATGTTACTTAAGTTAAAGTATTATTTTATTCATTTTTACATTAATTTTAATTATTAATATAATTTATAATTTAAATGTCAGTCAATTTCATTATTAAACAGCTGAAAATGTTTACAAAGTTTATAATAATTTTTATATTAAGATTGTTTTTACTGCTAATGGAAAGCACATTCTGTAATTAATTTGCCATGCTGAATATTTTTATGATACTTATATTTACATGCATGGTTGAAGAAGCTATAATCAATAAAAAATCAAAAAGTATGATTTAATAAGAAATTATTAATTTGCATTGCATATTGCTATCTTTTTTAAAAAACAGAATACAGTAATCTTTAAATTTTACATTTCTTATTGAGCAGAGCTCTGCATAAGTGAGAAAGTGTTTTGTCTGTGATTAAGTTAAAAATCAACCATACAATCACTGCACATGATTTTTTTCAAATTTGTACAACTTGGCAAAGCCAATGTTATGAAGCCAGAATTTTGAAATTTGATCTATAGGCTAAGATATTTGAAGTCAAAGTTTGCCATGTAAAGACTATGGGCCAATTGCAAGCTGGTTGCACACTACATGTCAACAGAGTTTCTGATTGCTGTCAGTTTACATATATATTTAAAATAAAATATTATATATATAATATTTTATTTTAAATTATATTTTGAGCATCATGATGAAAACAATTTATCATGATGCTCATGATGTACTTAAATTTTTTTAAAAAACAATTTATTAAATAAGTTTTCTGAAAAAATATTTTGAACAGAGAAATTTTTGCAGACAATTTTTGGAAAATAATATAAACTCTACATTTTCTCTCAGAGTAAACAGATTATAAGAAATGTACACTTATTCTGATTTATTTATTTATTTACAATGACTTACAGCAATGTTGTAATGACAATAATGGCTGACCCCTGAATAACAAATATATAACAATCCAAAAGAGCAAAATTACATGATGTTACAAAAACAAGTTTAAACATTTCTGTAACATTGATTCAAGTGTACATTTTTTATAAATTTATTTACTGCTTCCAGTATGGGCCTGTCTGCTATTTATCAGAGAGTAATATTTAGGAAATTTTTTGGGATGAAAAATGATTAAAACTCAATATTTTGTCATCAAAGTACATTCCTGGAAAAGGCAATGAAATTTAATTAATGTCAATTGATAACAGAATTATCTAGTCAGAAATGATAATGCTGTACATTGGCTTTGTATTAATGAAAGACATTTTAGTTGAAATTGCTTATTATTATTCATGACAGTAAAAATTATATACTAAATCAATTTTCTATGTATATCAATGTTAAAAAATCTTAAGACTACCTTAAAAAATAATCTGCATTTCTTTCAACTCTTTCTTGTCCATCTAAAACAGTTTATTAAAAATTATATATTCCATTCTCAGAATTTATAATTTTAACTTTAACAGAATAAATGGATGGACATGATGCTAATTTGTAAATTAGTGTTTCTCACAATTAAGAATTTGGTTTACTCTATAAAAAAGCAAAATCAAATCTTTGTCATTAATTTATTGTTGAATATTCACATGAATACTTACAATTATATTTATCATATATTAATATTTATAAATGTTTGCATATATATGATTCATATAACTTCTTGTAATCAAATTTTTACTCAATCACATGCCAATAGTGTCAAAGTTCTACTTCTGTAGATTATATTTACCAAACTAGTATCTATGAAGTAAAAAGATATATGAGAGAGCTATTAAAGACAATTTATTTCTTAATTGAGTAAAAAGTTTAGCAACATTTTGTGTACATTTGAAAAAGTATTTGATATAGCTCAGTTGAAAAAATCTGACAACAGACTTACAGAAAATTATCTGAAAAAGGAATATACCAAGCACTTCATTCCAGAAACTATAATTAGGTCTGTTTTGCTAAAACTGAAAAATATATATGTAACAATATTAAGTTAAATATGTTATATAATTTGAATATAAAAAATTAATGACCATAATGTGTATTTCATGAACTTTGTACATATCTACATTATGTAAATTAAGGATTTCAACTATTATCATATTATCAAGGGAACAAGCAAATTAAAATTTTTGTATAGTTTCAAACTAGCTAATCATCTTTATTTATAAATGATGAAATCAAAATAGAAAATAATAACTTGATGTATAATTAAAAAGTGTTTTTATGTATACACTTAAGCTGTTAAAATAAATTTTAAGCTTATTTAAATAATGTTTATTTCATATATATATTATATATTTAGATTTTAAAATATTGATTCTGAGCACTGTATTGTTATTCAATATAAATTTTTTAAAGAGAAAGAACGATTTTATTTTCATCAAATCAAAATTCCAATCAATATTAAGCATCCTTGAATGCTAGTTTAGATTTCTAATAATAAAAATATTACAGATACATATTATTTGATGTAATTTTTAATGTATAATGACTATATAATGTATGCATTATATATATAATGTATAATGTATAATTCTCTAAGAATTATAAATTGGGGATCTATTTTATAACAATATATACAGTAGTGCTTATATAAATAATCAAGTTCTGTTCAAAGGTTGATCTTTGTATATATAAAATTATTTTTATCCAAATGAATTGCACTGTAAAAATTTTTGTTCAAAAATTTAAAATTTAGTAGTATTTATTGTTAATTTTTCCAACAGCTAATACATTATAATTATTAAAATGTGTGAAAGTTCATGTTTCAATATTTTCAGTATAGTGTAAATTTAACTTGCAATAAAAATTCAGTACTTATTATTACAATTTTAACAATTTAAAAATATATTGATTCTGAAAAAAAAAGATTAAATCAATAAATATAAAATTCTGATATTAAAATTACACAGTTAAGTTTAACATTTTCTGAAGTAAAAAGCAGATATGAATAATTTTTTTTAATCAAAAAATTATGTCAGATATATAAGATATGCTGTCAATGCTATCAAATAATTATTTGGAGATAACATTGGTTTTTATATAATGTAATCAAAACCTGAATTATATAATCAAGTTAATGTTGTTTTCAGGATATAAGATTAAATTAATAATTTTGGATTAAAGGTATGTGGTCAGGTTGCCATCCTGTATCAATATTAATAATTAAAAATTAAAAGTACAGTCGAACCCTCTATAACATGGTAGATACGTTCCAGTTTTTATGAATCCATTTTCTACAAGTCCAGCCAATCACAGCCCGGCACGTATGCAGTTTACAGACTACGGCTGTTTGAAAGGTTTATTCCATAAAATTAATTGATTCTAGACTAATTCAACTCAACATTTCCAAAATACGTATAATTTTTTGGGAATAATCCCAAAAAATATAAACTATGCTAAAAACAAAAAATTGTAGGATTACTTACCAAGTGTGCACCATTCGACTACGCCATTGCTTAAGCTTGTTTTCATCGTGGAGCTTGTCATCGAATGGCGCTCGTGTGCTTCCTGATAAATTATTTTTTTCTAATTCTAATTTAAGTAGACTATGCTTCATTACTGGACTTTCAGGTTACTTGATGTTTGCCATGGGCATCGTCTAGTCCAAGANAATAATCCCAAAAAATATAAACTATGCTAAAAACAAAAAATTGTAGGATTACTTACCAAGTGTGCACCATTCGACTACGCCATTGCTTAAGCTTGTTTTCATCGTGGAGCTTGTCATCGAATGGCGCTCATGTGCTTCCTGATAAATTATTTTTTTTTGCGAAAAATTCACTAAACTTTGGAGACATCATTAATATAAATATAATTTTTATGGACGTTAGATAATAAATGGTTTTTAGTAGGTCTGCTGCTCGTTTAAACTCAATGGTTTGAACAATATCCGCTATTGGTCTAGATTCGACCAATCCTGTCGCAACACGAGTCGGCGATGACATTTTACCGAATTATAGGAGTTTTTTAGCATGTTTGTACGAATACTGTCACAATTTTTTCGCCATGATATAGGAATCCATGTTATAGGGGGGGTTGACTGTAATTAAATAATTTAGAAAATGCACAATCAAGGTATAAAGAGTACATACCAATTTACATTTCCCCTTTTGCCATAGATAATTTAGTACTCTTGATGCCATAAAACCTATTATTTACCAATACATGGAAAGTGATTTCACTTTTCACTTAATTATACACATAACATACTAATAAAATAATAAAATTATTAAAAGAATTGATTTTAACAGATTTAAAATGACAAAACAGAAAAAAAAATATAAACTAAAAGTCACATATTTACATGTGCAAAGATAAAAAAACAAGAAAAAGATTGAAGATTGAAATGTGTATGTACAAAAATAGAACAAAGAAATGAAGAGAAGTGAGTATGCACACATATTCTTCTTCTCTTAAAACATTATGGATAGGTTATCTTTAAAATTTCAGCATGAAAGAGAAGTATATCTTATCTCCATCTTATATGCCAAAAGTACTGTTCTGTGATTTGTTTTAAACTCTTCAGCTGATCATAAACACATATTAAATGCTTTACTGTAAATATGTCTTGGTGGACATTGTAAATGTAAATAAATATTTATCTAATGAGAAAGAATTTTCTTAAAAACCACAAAAGACAGACAGATAACTAAAACATAACATAAATTGCTTAGAAAATGTTTACAAAATGATAATATACAATAATAAAGATTCATTTCAAAATAAATATATTATATTAAAAAAACAGAACAAAGATGATTATTATTATTAAGAAAAACAATAAATTGAATGTTTTAAATAACTCAGTATTATGATAATATAGAAAAATATATTGTTAATATGTGAAAACTGCCTTATGCTCTAAAAGAATATTATTACTGAGACTCTAGATGTATTTAATATAAAGAGCTATTATATTTACTTTCTCTTTCCAATTTACAAGATGAAATATTTGACATGAGTGCCAACCAATATTTAAGAGAACAAAATATAAGAACAAGATTGAAATTCTTACACACTACAATTAGATGGTTTACAAGTTCTAGTCACTATTTTATTTCTTTCACACTGTACATTCGTTAGTACCATTTGTTCTAATATGATTATGCAATTTAGCAACCTTTATTGCTACAATATAATCCTTTTACTGATGATTATAATTTTATTAAATTTAAACAAATTTTGTTTTACTTGTTTTCCTGTTTAGCTATCATTTTAACTAACTTTTGCTTTTTTACCATTACATAAAGAAATGTCTGGAAACCTATATGTGATTTTCTTATGTTATATTTGCTTCTCTCATTTCATATATGTTCTTTTATATCAGTGAATAACCTAATTAAATGTTCATTTTATTTCATTTAGAATCCTTGGTTTGTAGGTAAATACATATTTTCCAACCCTAATGTCATTTGGAGAACACAACAGGATGACTTAGTTTATGCCAAAATACTGCGAAGGTACAAATTTTGACTGTAAAAAATAATGGATAAGATCATCCCTATTTACAAAAGGTTTTCAGATATCCAGAGTTACACTATCTTTAAAATTATGTTCTCAAAAAAATAAATAAATAAACAAATAAACATATTTAAATATATTTTTTAATACATATATTTGATAGCCCAAACACTACACTACTGAACACTACAGAATGAAATATCATTTATAGTTTTTAAAATCTCTTTTAAGTATTGCTAATACATAATTACTAGCATTTGTTTAATTTTAAATAAAAATGCAAAACATTTCTTATGTAAAATTTGTACTTTTTCTGGGATATATGATATATTTTTCCAAAAAGAAATCAATTGAATTTTGGCATAAAAATTTATTAAATTAATAAATTAATTAATAATATAACTTTCNAGAATACAAAAAAAAAAAATTAAAAAGTATTAAAATTTTGACTTATCTAATACATAAATTAATTTTATTAAATTGAATGTATAACTTTTTAAAACAAGAAACTTGAAATTATATTATTGAAGTTTTTCTTCAAACTATACTCAAACTAATATGTTATAAACAAGTTATTTTACACACAAATTATGTTATAGACTTTCCTATAGATGCTGTTATTAATTTTTTCCTTCTAAATTTTAACTTAATATTGTTTTATATTATGTTACTTAAGTTAAAGTATTATTTTATTCATTTTTACATTAATTTTAATTATTAAATTTATCAAGAGATGGCATCTAACGCCTAACTCTAATGCCAAATTGTCTATTAAATTATTAGTATTATAGCTGTTTCTAGCCCGATAATATTCGGATTTGGGTAGATGGATAGTTTTAATTGTATCAAGTATAGTAAAGATGTATGATTGTTTATATCAACACAAATGCTTATTTTTCTGATGGTAAAATCTTATAATTAATTATTTCTATTAAAAGCATTTAAGCCTTATTTCATGTTTTACAGAAATTTGAAAGAAATAAAAAATTCAATAATGACATAAACTTAACAGGTTTATTTTAATAAACCATTTTGCATTCAAAGATTTCAAAGTGCATGTTTTATGTAGAATAACTTGCAAATTCATTTAACCTATCTTTTTTCATCAATTTCCTGAAATATATGCTTAACTTAAAATACAGCTGAAGATTTAAAACTTTTTCAAAAATATTTAAAATTAATAAGATTTGCCATTAAAATCTAACTAATTATATCCATCTCTATCCTAACTCTGAAATCTCTCATAAGCACTATCATAAATGCAATCCATGAAAAACAATTAAAGTTAAATGTCATGCCAAATATACAAAAGATAAATTAGATATTTGTAAAAAAAAGTACCTGACTCATTCTTCAAACATGTTAGCCAAACATTTTTTGTATGTAAACATAGTGCAAAAAGTAAATAATTAATTGAACAATGAAAATAGGATCTTGAGTTAAATACACATATATTATTCATTGTAATAGTATTATAGTATGCAGCATAATAAAAGTATGAGCCAAATATTTTTCTCAAGTTATTGTATTAACACTTTAGTTTAGTATTATTAATTTAAATAATTTTTTAAATTAAAAATTTTGTTTTGTGATAGAAGTGTGAATTGATTATCAAGCTTAATATACTTGATTTAGTTTTACATTTTTAACATCATAATTATGATAAAGAAATGAATTAATTAATCAATCTTATAATCATTTTATTTTTATGTTGAGAACATACTATATAAATTAAACTTTAAATACTATTTTTTATTTGTTATGTTAAAATTAAGAGGTGCTAAAATTGAAATCTACTTGACAAGATGTATCTGAACTAAAAACAATCAAGTATGTTAGAAAATTATTCCTAAGACATATTCTAATATTTTTTGTTTATTTTTTGGCACATAGATAAATGTTTGGAAGTTACTTCTGTTTTTTATCATTCCCAAAATAAAGTAATATAAGTTATAAATTGATTACTATTTTAAACATATGATATTGATTATTATTTTAAATGATGCGTTTTTAGCTGAACTTTTTAGAACACTTAGGCTAAAACATCTGATGATGGCCACTGAAAGAGGCCAAAAACATTTGCTTATTATAACAAATTGCTGGAAATGTGCTAAAGGTCAGTGCAATATTTGTTTTTAAGAAGTTACAGCTGTAGAGAATATATTTTATGATTACTATTTTGAAAATAGAATAATTTGAATAAAATATAAAAATGTAGCAGAGACGTTAATAGTAGTGCAGATTGTCAAATGACAGTTATTAGACAACAAATTTGCTCTACTGATCTTTTTACAACTACTATAAAATTCTCCTGTNATTATAACAAATTCAAAGAATATTTTAAAATATGGAGATAAAAAAAATTACTGTTTTATACATTTAACAATTCCTTTATTTTAGTAGCTAAAAACTTTAAAAACATATATATCAGAATATTTTTTAGTATATTTAGTTTTACATCAAAATATGTTATTGTAAAAATAAGATATAATATTTTTATTCATAATTTATCATGTTATCTAAATGTTCACTTATTATACAGAAACTTCAGTATATTAAATTTAAATCTTAAACAATACTATTTAAGATTTAAATTTTTCTTCAAAAATTATATTAAGCTAGTCAATTACTAATGAGAAATTACTATTAAAAAGTAGATTTTATCCATTAAAAATTTCTACAAGTGCTACTTGAACTTGTCTGAAAATAGCCTTTGGTTAATGACTATATCTTTTTAACTTTAATTATGTTTTAACATTAAACTTGTTTCAATTCATTAAAATTCATTTCTATAAATATATGAATAAAAGTTTATTCTTATACATTCAAAGCATTTAACCTGTATGAAATAATAACTTTTAATTCATACAGAAAAAAGTTATTCAATTTTACAAGTCACTTTTTATTTTTTTGTAATCATCTTTAATTTAATAAACAATTATGTGAAAAATACTTACTTAATTTTTTCCATTAGATTAATGTATTGATGTAATTCTTTGTTTATTTCTGCTATAAGTATTTTGTCTTGTTCTACAAGATTCATATCAGGAATAGAATTGTCAAAATTTTTTGTGAGAAATGTCAGTGCTCTAAAAAAAAAAAATAATTATTTTAAATATATAAAAATTATTATTATTATTTTATTCATAACAGATTTTAAGTAGGCCTATTTATTTTAATTATTATTTTTTAAAATGTTTGCATTCATTATGATAAAAAGTAAAAACAATATAATAAGGCTAATACAAAAAAGGCTCAATTTATAAAGATGCCAAAGACAGCATATTTAAGAATGTTTTTAGAATTGATTTGTTCAATCAATATTTCCTAATAAAAAACTGATTACATGATAAGAATGGCAAAATAAAATAAATAAGTTAAAATTTAAATATCTGAATGTTTATTGACAAGTATGGTTTAACATTCTCATGCATTGAACCTGAAATGATAAGAATGTTGATAGAACTCTAAAATTTACAATTTTAGTTTAAATTTCTATTTGTGATAAAAAAAAGTACCAATAAGCCTATAAATATATATCTATAAATATATACATAAATGTCCTGAAGCCCAATGTATTGATACTAAACCAAATGATTGCCATAATTAACTGGGCTATTATTATGCTATAATTAATAATAGTGTAACCTTTCGGGTCGGCACCTCTTTAGTGCTCTGTCAGGATTGACACCACTGTGTTTATCGGAACACGGAAGCCAAGACGGCAATTACTACGTCACACCGTTGCGCGAGCGGTCCCATAAGTGGACAGACAGATTCGTAATGTCAGCCAATCGAGAGACAGCATATGGAAGAGACTCGAACTACACTTAACAATTAACAAGGATTTAATTAAAAATAAATTGGATAAGATACAGAGGTTCTAAAGTTGGTCATGGAGAGAGAGAGAGTTCACATAACGAGCACGAGTTGCATAAATACCTGGTGATCAAAGGCAATTTCCTGATGGAGCTCTCATTGGGTGATAATAGTTCTGATGGTGATTAGTTCCAATATAATATCCACTAGCACAATGATGGCACAAGGTATCCAAATGGGCACTGGTCGACAATATTCCGGGAGTAATCAGTACGGGTTTCTTTTGACGGAGGGATGGACGATGACTGACTTTTTTCGGCTGTCTGGTGATATTCACAGATGCTATCAGCTGTCCAGAGGTTAAAAGATCGCGAGAAAGCGTCGTGTTGCCTTCGAGAAAATGTAATGGGAGACTTTCTCATGTAGCTACGAACAACAATTGTTACGTAACTCAAACAATATTAATATTAAAGTCTGGTTCGAATATAGGAATTTCTGCTACCTCACAATAGCATTATAGCTCAATTAATTATGCGATCGTTTGGTTTAGTACCTATAAATATGTGTAGATATTTAAAGTTTGTGCTTAATTATTCTATTTCTTTGTTATTATGGGATTGATTTTACTGAGTATTTCATAACAGAACAGACCAGTTTCACAATTTTTACTCCTCAAATAAAACTGCTTTGGCTTTTTAAAATCTTAAGTATTTTTGCATTGCTATATCTTAAATATGCATTGAATTTTATTTTAATACCATGCAAAATGTACTCTACTTTGCTTAAATTTTGCAAAAATAAACTCACTTATTAAGAAGATTTTGTTTTTATTTGAGAAAAATAAACTAAAATATAATTATGTACAGAGCATGAACCATCCACATCCTTGGCATTACTTCATTCAGGATTCAATCATCTGCTCTATCCAGAAACTGTATAGATGAGCCAAAATACAATATACTCAATTCTCAATTTAATTAATTGTTAGGTTAACTAGACAAAACAGAAGTTTTCAAAAAAAAATATTTAAGCAGAAATTTCTTAAGTTCAATAAATTCTTTCATAAAAATGACTTATGTGACTAGTGGCAGTATGATCATTGGGCTAACATTCTATTTTCAGCGTGATTTGGAAAATATAATCTGTTGTGTTTTTGCTCGATTTTTGTAAACATAAATTAACTTATTAATGATTTTATTATTTTTTCAAACTGAATAGATTGATAGTAATAGATAGGAATCATTTTTATTCTTTAGTTTTCTGGAAAATAGGAGATAATTTTGATTGTGGCAGCTACCTAATACAGCCACACAGAAATATGATTCATAAATATATATGATGATGATTGAATAATTCTTCATTAAAAATACTCAACAATTCAATAAAGTATGCAAATAATGGTAGAATTGATTTTAAACATTTTTAAAAAATCATAACATTAAATCAAAATTTGCATGAAAATCAATTAATCTTTGACTATGATTTTTGTCATGAATATATCTGCTAATCAAAGGTTCATCTCATTAAATAATATCACCAATCAATTTGCTGTTAAAATTACATTGTCATATTTTCACCAATATTAATCAGTCTTTTTTTATTATTATTTATTAATAAATATAATGTAAGTAGTGATTAATAGAACTAGAAAATTTTTTTTAAATCTCAGAAATTTCATTTATATATAAAATGTTCTATTGTTGTTTTAATAGAATAAGTGAGAATTTTAAATGTTTCTTATTTTATTTTCTAAATTTTATCTCCATTTGTAATCATAAAAGATCAAAATAATCTATTTTTAAATTTTCTTGTAGAAATTAGGATTATACAGTCTTCAATTCTACAACAGTTAATTTATTATAATTATTTTTATTGTGATATAATATACAATTAAAGATCATTTAATAAAAAAACTTTTCTTAACAATAATTAAAAATTTTATAAAATAAATTTATTATTACCTATTAATAAAATTTCCCAAATTATTAAGAAGTTCAGAATTGTTTTTGGTCATCAGATCTACCCAATTAAATGATGTGTCCTAAAAAAATAATTAAATCTTTTATATAATTAAAATAGTTGTTTTAAGATAAAACAAATTAAATCATTTTAATTAATTATTCAAAATTCTTTTATAATAATTTTAATCAATATTTTATTATTACTATTTATTTAACTGTAAATGCATGAAAATGCATGAATTATGGGAACTAAGCACAAAAAATCCACAAAAACTTATTCATCAGGTAGTCTATAAATAAAATATTCTTTGAATAATAATTTAAACATTTTTATTTAGTTTCTAGCACATTAATATATTATTCTTATCCATCTTAAAAATAAAGAAAAGTTAATTCATATCTTCAATGATTAATATCCTACATAGTGAAGTAAATATTAAAATTAAAATACATAAGAAATTTGAAATAATAATTTATGTAAATGTTATACCACATGTCATGAAAACACCTCTAGAATCCAATGTTCATTAAAGCAATTTCATAAATTGGACACTAAATTTATGGTGCAGAATTTGATAATGATTGTCCTAATGATTTTTTCACAACTAAAATTTTTTCCTTTGAATTCCTTTATTCACATATCTTATTTTTTGTCAGAATCATTTTTTATTTTACATGGTATGATTTATTTGATCAGTCAGTTTTTCGCTCTGTGATAGGCCTTTTATCAGCTATTTCTGCAATTGCTTTTTTTTCAATGTCTAGAATGTCTATGGCATTTTTCAAAATTATATTTGATTCTTCTGTTTTATTTAGATCTGTTTCTCTAAAAGCTTCTGAAAGCATTTACATCTTTTCTTTTATTAAATTTTGCCCTCTTCTGGACTTGGAGGTCAGAGATATCTGGATTTTTTTAGATGGTGATGCTTCTAACAAGGTTTCTTTATCCTCTTTTTGTTTCTTTGCTTCCTTTCACTTAATGATTCCTTCCTTATATTGTTAATAAGGAAAGAATCACTAATTGTAAATTTTTGGCTGACTTCAAAATATAACTATTGGGAACTTCTCCAGGTTCCATTGAATCTATATATAAAGGATGAAGTGATTTTCAATCCATTAACGCTTTCTATACTGAGACTTGTTCTGTCTGGGCAAATTTTGTTTTTGTTATCTTCTTTTGTTAGAATTCAATGTCTGAACCATCACTAATATTGCTGTGTAACAGCTATGGTGTAGTGGCTTATTGCAAATTTTAGTTCAGCAGCTACAGTGCATTTAGTATTACGTCAATATTAAGTGCACAATAGTTGCCAAACTGGTATATGAGTATTATAGAAAAACTATGACATACTCCAAAATAGTGCACAATCCATACAGGACATTCCAATTTTCAATGCTGACTAAGTGCTGATCTCAATGTTTGTTAAAAGTTGTTCCTTTTTTCAACATTGAAGTGGTGCAGTTGTCAACGCTAACTCAACACACTCAGCACTCAACAGATATGTTGACCACTACTTTCCAATAAATTATGAGTAATTGGTGTGACAGTTGAATGAAGTCCATCTTGCTGAGAATGGAATTATGGGAACTAAGCACTTTGTACTTGAAGTTGGAATATCGCTGTTGAGTGTTGAAACCAATAATTAATTTACTACTCATCTTTACCACAACACCGGAGAATAGTAATATAATTACCTCTTTCTAACCTGTTACCGGTGTGTCTACTAACTCTTAACGATCCAAAACGAACCAAAACTAACGTTTTCGAACCCTTAAACGGTTCTTCTTCAGGTTTTTCCTGAAGAAGAACCGTTTAAGTTTATTATCCGTTTCCTGAAGAAGAACCGTTTATTATCCGCACCGCACGGCACGTACACCATATCAGATGGCTAGAGGCGGCCAGCATATACTTGGCTAACCTTAAGGATAATCAATGCATCAATTATAAAGAAGAGATTACGTTATCAACAGCGTGGCTAGCGTTTATGAATAGTAATTTATGATAGCCCGTTTGGAGTCGACTGCGCATGACATACAACGACGGAAACGGGAAACGTGCATTCGAACTTACATATTTCAAATTTAAAGTTTTTACGAGCTGCATTTTCCATCAGAGATTCGGAAAAACCTGAAGAAGAACCGTTTAAGGGTTCGAAAACGTTAGTTTTGGTTCGTTTTGGATCGTTAAGAGTTAGTAGACACACCGGTAACAGGTTAGAAAGAGGTAATTATACCAATAATTAATTTGATGACATATGTTGAGTGTTGAAAATTGGAATGTCTCGATAGTATCAAGCAATAACCAAAATATCTTACATGATCTGTAGTACAATAGTAAAATACATGCAAGAATGGTATTTTATTACATAGAATTATGAATAGTCAGTACCATAATAAATCAATATTTGACTATAAGTCTATATTTTCAATATTCAATCCAACTTAAATATCTAATATCTGCTTCAGTTTTCACATTTCCAAACCTACTAACAACACTCAAAATATATTATTTTAGGGGCATAATAAATTATTTTAATAATAGTTAATACTCTAATATTTTCTTATTATTCTGATAAATTAAATTATAATTTTTATAATTTATTTATAAACTGTATTACCTGCCCTTCTGGTCTAATATAAAGTAAATAAAATCTCCAAATATCTGGTGGAATATTTGTTTCTTTTGCATCATTTCCAAAAACACCAATTCCTCGGCTTTTAGAAAACTTTGTATCTTCATAATTCAAATATTCTGACAGAAATTGTATTAGAATTTTTAATTATTTAAATTTATTGAAATTAAACAGAATTAACTTTCTTACCAACAGCAGCTAAATGATTAACTTTAGTATATGGATCACCAGTTCCTAGCAGACATGATGGAAAAATTATGCCATGAAATGGAACATTATCTTTTGCCATAAACTGATATAACTGAACATCATTTGGTTGTTTCCACCACTCTTCCCATTTTTCTGTGTAGTTTGCTGTGATTGATGGATAACCAATAGGAGCATCATACCAAACATAAAATACCTATAAGAAAAAAACATTTTAATTTCTTTATAATGTACAGGGTAATCATAATTTAAGTTTCATTTGTATTTTAAATATTTTTATTACTTCAATTTTTAAAACATATATTTTATTACAAAATTTTACTTTGTTTTTATATTCTTCTAATGGTACTGGTGTTCCCCATTTTAAATCTCGAGTAATACATCTTGGTTTAAGTCCATCTTTAAGCCAAGAATTGCATATAACTTTTGCTGTTTGACTCCACTCTCCACATTTTGTGGAATTATCCAACCAATCTTTAAGAAGTGGTTCTAACTGAAATTGGAATAAAATAATAAATAATTAATGCAGCAAAAAAATATATTTAAAAATCTTAATATATTAATTTATAACATTTATTATCATTACAACTATTTATCATCATATGCACATGAATTTTAATATAACAGAAACTCTAACTACAGTGAAACCTCGGTTTTCATCGATAACCTGTCTGACAACAATTGGCGAAATCTGAGGCAATTATTTCTGTATGAATCAATGTAAATTCAATTAATTTGTTCTAGACACTCCAAAATACATACCAAAAACACATTTTATAGAGAATTAACATAGTGTTAATACTAAAAACAATAAGAAATTAATATAAAAGATTAATCTAAAAGAAAGCAATGGAATTGTTTGGCTAGATGCATGGGGTAATGTCTTGTCTAGTAGAAGCTAGTTGGACATGAGCTTCTAGCCTATATTGCCCTGTGGTAAAGTGTGGTGTAATTGTCATGTAATAGTAGTTGTATGCATTTATGATGGCTGTATCGCGGGGAATAATGCCTTCCGGGAGGTCCGTTTAAAGGTAATTGGCCTCTATTCAGGTGTTACAGACGTAAAAAAAACCCGGAAAACTCCACATGACCAGCCTGTCCAGGCAAAGCATGAACCCACAACTGAACTCCCAGTGTTCAACGAACTCCCAGTTCAGTGTTGACCAATGGTGGGCCGTCGCTAGCTAATGCTCACACAATGAGAAATAACACCACACTGAGCCGGAAAACACATGGGCCACTCTTTGTTTTCAGAAAATTAGCAGTGAGGTCACTTGGGCATGCCGACAAATCTGAGACAATTGACAAAAACCGAGACAAATTTTTCACAAAAAAATCGACAATAACTGAAATCGATGATAACTGAAGTCAACAAAAACTGATGTTTTACTGTATATTTCCCATATAAATATTTTGATATACTACTATTCACATCTCAAATTTTACATAAGAATAATTTTATCACCTTATAAACCTGTTAAATATGAAAACTGATTAAATGAATTTTTAAAAATTATAAATTCACAATTCTTAACTTTTCAATTCCAACAATAACTAAATCTCAATTTCTCTAACAACAATCTTATACTGTTTAATTAAAATTGTTGTTCTGTTTACAAAGCTTAATCTTGGTTATTTATTTAAACTGACAGTATTATTACATACTGAGAAAAATAATTTGTCAGAACAGGTCTCAAAATCTTAGTTTGTATTATGCAACAGCTCTCCACTTTTTTAAATATACACTCCATTGAAAAAATAATGATATTACATCCCTTGATTAATATCTCTGCAAAAAACAATATAGTTACTTAACTATATTCAAATACAGTATTATGCTTTCTAAAGTATTGATCACAAATATAACAAAACTAATCAATATCTGTTTTAAATATTTGTAATCACCTACTGTATTATATATTTTTCTGATATTCAAAGAAATAAAACAAAGAATGAATAATTAACCAAATAATAATTAAAAGGCATCATAAACTTACTAACAACTCATTTCAATAAATTATTAAATTATGTTCAAATCTACAAAACAGATTTTGATCATAAAAAGAAGTTTATATTAATTATTGTATTTATTCTTAAATCATAATTTAAAACTTGCATTTTAAATTCATTGGAAAATAAATTTACACATGATATTATCATATGCAAATTTTAATGCAGATTTGATAAATATAAAATAATTTCCCTCAAATAAAGTACTATCAAATACTGTTTTTTGACCAATTTGTTAAAAAGAATCAAACAGTATTAATATTAATTTTGAAGGAGTATTGAATTTAGACATGATTTCTTTCTTAACAATAATTATTTTCAATGACTGATTTTAGCCAGTTGCTTGTCACTATTTAAATCATATGTTCTAAATAATTAAATTATTTTATTAATTTACTATTTCCAAAATAAAAGTAACTGAATATGAAATTAAATGTTAATTAATCCAGAAATAGATTATAAATTTATAAAACTAAAAAATGTCTTTTTCAAATCCCAATGATTATCTTGAGTATTAAGTCTACATACCTATCAATAAAATGGAGATTAATTGAAGTTTGCTAAATAGAAAATAATATAGAAAGTTGGATTATTGACTTAATTTTATTGGGATTCAAAAAATGCATTTTTTAGTTTTCTAAATCTATGATGTATTTCTGAATTAATTAATATATAACCCAATCCATAATAGTGAGATCTGAAATTAAATGTGTTGTGTCTTTGAAGGTGGCTTAGTCTGTAGACAGTGATGTCACATATTCATTTGCTAAAATAAACTTTTATGGTCATTTGAAAGAAATATGTGGTCTTTTGCAAATTTTTAAAATAAAATATAATCAAATGGTTTGTATGAAAGTATATAAATAAACGAAAGACAAATTTCCAAAAAAATTTGAGATAAATGAAGACAAAATTTGTTGACATGCCAATCCAAACACAAACTTGTCTACAAAGGCTTCACACAGATAGAATGCTGCCAAAAATAAACAGTCAAACCTACAATATTTCTCTTTTATTTATTATATGCAAAAATATTTTGCATAAACATATTTATATATTTATTTGGATTTCTAAAAATCTATGATGATTTTTAAAATTTCTAACAACATATAAATCCCATTTAATATCAATTTATAAACAATAAAGACATTTAAATGTTTTTACCTTAGGCAAATTGAGAAACAAATGATTTGATGTTCTCATAGTTGGAGTTGCTTTACACACTTTACATTGAGGACTCTTCAATTCTGCAGCATTAATTAATTTACTGCATTTATCACACTGGTCACCTCTAGCATCTTCATATGAACAAAAAGGACAAATGCCTTCTACAAATCTATCAGCTAAAAACCTGAATAAAAAAAAATTATATAAAACAAAATTTAAAAAAAATTGATTACATGACTTCCTTAATATTGAGTAATAGCACATCAATTTGAAAAAAAAATTTCTCTTACACACTCCCATTTTAGAATTTTAATTGTAGAAGTAACCAAAATTAAAATTTAAAAATCATGTTTTGAAAATTAAATAAAATGTTTAAAAAACTTGACAGAATTTATTGAAATTTGGTAATTTGTTTTTCATGTCAAACATAACAATTTATGATTAATTGTCTACTCGGACACAACTTATTAGGACCTTAAACTGGTGTTTTTGGATATTGACACAAAGATGAGATCTGAATCAGAAAAAACAAAATTTCTTTATTATATCACCTGTAGTAATTTATCCTGTACACATGTTACACGTGTTTCGGGCTAACATGCCCCTCATCAGCAGTATTACTACGACATTCTAAAATATAACAAACGAATAAATAAGATACTAAAATTAAGAATACAAAAATTACCCAACAATAAAATTAAAAAAAAAAAAAAAATTACAGTAAATTCGCATCCGAATACAATATACAACGAAATTATATTTTGAAGGAATTTAAATACAAAATTACATAATATCATTTTTCTGTATTAAATAAAAACCTGTATATTCTTAGTAATTTAATCTTTACTTGTTTTTATTTTTATTTAATACAGGAAAATGATACTGTATTATGTAATTTTGTATTTAAATTCCTTCAAATTATAATTTCATTGTACATTGTATTCGGATGCGAATTTACTGTAAGTTTTTTAAAAATTTTATTATCGGGTAATTTTTGTATTCTTAATTTTGGTATCTTATTTATTTGTTTGTTATATTTTAGAATGTCATAGTAATACTGCTGATGAGAGGAATGTTAGCCCAAAACACATGTAACATGTGTACAGGATAAATTACTACAGGTGATATAATAAATAAATTTTGTTTTTTCTGATTCAGATCTCATCTTTGTGTCAATATCCAAAAACACCAGTATAATGTCCTAATAATAAGTTGTGTCCAAATAGACAATTAATGATAAATTAGAATTAAGGACTGTAAGACAACTATAATAAAAGTTTATGAGTTTGTGATTACAAGGCACTTGTTGATTATATTTCAACCAATAAATTCCTTTCCTTGATAATGGTAGTAGTTTGCTCACAAAATTCTACAAGAGATTGATGAGATATATCTCATCTCCTTCAGAACATTCCTGCATGCTCTTAGATTCAAATTTAAAGAACTGATAAGTCAATGTCAAAAAAATTAAACAAGTTGAATACATACAAATGAGTACTTATTATCCATAAAAAGAGGAGAAAAACTCCAACACTTGTCTAGAAAAGCTTACACTTCAAAATATTTTTCTCTCTGAAGTTGTTAATAAGTGACAAAGTGAACAAAGTGTACAAAGTGACATCTGCCTCTTCAACTTTATGCTGAACCCAGACTATTACATTATTACCATCAAAGTTATTTCATTCCCCGATATTAAAATGACAAATAAAACATATTGAGAATCAGTCCATAAACTGAATAGCAATATCATCTATAAAAAGAATAAATCATCTATAAAAAGAATACTGATCTACCAAGTGACTGTAATTAAAGTACCTCTATTCTGTCTAGAGGGATATTTAGCAGTCTAAATGAAACCAAATCTGGTTTAGTGACATTTCAGGACAAACAAATGACATTTCCGTTAAAATGAAAAACAATTAGTACCAAAACTCACTTTTGGTGCTTTGGATTTCATAGTGATTTTTAAAAGTATGGTTTATTGAGGACATGTTTCTGTCAATATTGAAAGACAGTAGCACACTATGTGAAAACACCACAGAGGATCAAGAATAATGGGCAATTCAACAGATTGTTCCTTCAGATTTTAAATATTCAAAATGGGAACCACATTGAGCAATACCTCCCACATTGCTAAGGTCTCTACAACATAAATGTCTAGTATAAATAAAATGTTTCTTAATCTTACAAAATTGTATTAAAAAATAATACATGAAAATTCAAATTTTCTTTTCTTTCTGACTTACTGAGGATAAGCAGCTTCCAAACCGCAACTCCAAGAAAATGGAAACCCATGATGGATAATTGTCAGAATTTGAGCTGTGTATGAAAGTAATTAAAGTGTTTCTCTCTGCAAAGTTGGTTTGTCTTTTACCTTTTTAACTTTAATTTCATTTCATTAATGTAATGTTTTAGAATTTGGAAGTTGCTTATCCTTCGTAAGTCGGAAAGGAAAGAAAATTTGAATTTTCGTGTATTTTCTACAATACAATTATGTAAGATTGGAAAATTAATCCGACTCCATCATTTTAAGTAATTTAAATTTTTAAAAATGCTTGCAGTGTCAAACGTGCTATCATAGTGGTGAGTTTCAGTATTAATTTTTTCTTTACAGAAATGTCTTCCTTATGTCCTGAAATGTCATCATACCATAGGTTTGTTGCACTTTACCAATTTTTAACATTGTTGCTCTAAGTCTTGAAATTGTCTTGGATATATTTTAAATCTTTTGACAGGATCTCAAGCTTGATCTTTTTCAGTCTTATTATGGCTCTCTATCTTATTAAATCAGATAACTATGTATAAAACAGTATTAATACGATTGCAAATATCAAATATGGTAGCTGTTTTATATATTTCCGTAAATGTCTGTCTCTTTAATCCGAATAAAATAATTTCAGTAGACTATTATATAGCCATCAGGTTAGGTACTTCTTTTATTATATTTCCATATGCATTTCGAGCTTATTTAATTTCTAAGCCCCCCTTCAGTGCAATTCTACAAAAAACCATTTAAATACAAATATCAATTTAACAATTTTGACGCATGTAGATTATATTTAATGACACAAAAAAATTTTTTTTATCATACCAAACAAGGGGACCATTAAATTTTAAGTTACACTCATATGATACTTCTGGTCTTGTTTTCACAAGCTCTGGCCATATATCGGATAACATTAAAAAGATTTTCTTAAATATGACAATAAAATTCACAAAGGTACACCTTTTTAAAAAATATTAACAAAGTGACCATAATTATAGTAATATTATACCCGTTACACACAGAAATAAGCACCAGAGAATAAGCATAAAAAATTTGGTGCAGATCAAACAATGGGTTTAGCAGTTAATAATAAAGGGGAATAAAATGAGGGGAGAGATGGGGTATCCAGATTTCATTATAGTATATTTTTCTCAGGGTCCAAGAATATTTATAAAGAAGTTCATGCAGATTGTGCAAACAGTTTAGAAGTTATTAAGGAGGAACGAAATCAGGGAAAGGGTGGGGTGTGTACAGGTTTAATGGTAGTCTATATTTCCCTCAGAATATCGAGAATAAGCAAGAAAAATTTGGAGAAGATTGACCAAAGACTTAAGAACAGAGAGAGACAAACATTTTGTTTTATATATATAAACTGATGGAAAACTATTGAGTCCAACAGCAATTCTGACAGAACATAATGGTTCCATGGAACTGTCTAGTCCAACAGACTAGAAGTTCCAAGAAACAATTCTGCATTCGAATGAGTTGCAACAGTTGAACTGGATTTCCCACCTATATTCCAGAGTTTTAACATTATATAAATGTAAATTAATAGAATTTAAATAAGTTCAATATTGTGTTATTTTAAAAATTAAAATTTAAATGATGTACTTGATAATGTTTGTATGTAGCAGACATTTTGCAAAACTTAACTTTTTTGGCTGAAGAAAAATTTTTTTTTTTAAATAAAATGAAAAATATCAATAAAAATCAATATCTTGGGAATAAATGAACTGAACAAGATGAAATTTAATATGCAGATCAGAAAAAAAATAACAGGACACGATGATACTCATATTTTGTCTGGATGATGTGTACATTTTTAGTTTTTTAATAAAATGTGAATGAAGATAGACATAAAGTGTTTTCATTCTAGTATAGTAAGGTTTACTTTGGTAAGCCATTCATTCGCTTGCTTACTTGATGGCTTACTTCTACCAAGCCTTATGATAAAAAGAGCAAAATTCAAACATTTCACATGTCAAATCACTTAATTTGTTATATAAATCTTAATGTTGAATTATTAGGCATCTATTACAACTTTAACACCAATCCTTCAAACCATAATATTAATTTCTTACCTTTGACATTGTTGACAAAATAACTGTTCCATTTTATCATCTATGAGATATTCTTTTTCATGCAGTTTCCAAAATATTTCTTGAGCAATCCTAAATAAAATTTTGAATAAAAAGATGAAAGATCATAAGAAATATTAAAGTTAAATATAAAATATAATATAAATATAAGATAAGATATTTATTAAATGTTTCTAATAACCTAGCCAGTTATTTACATTTTAGGGCTTATCACACCAGTGAATATGAACAAAATTTCTTAAATTTATTTTATATTTAAATTTACAAAAAGGTAAAGAAATTTTACAATAATTAAATCTAATATATAAACAATACACCCAAAATGCATTTTGGATTCAAAAAAAGTCCCTCTTTGGTTGGAGTTTCAATAAAGATAAGATAAAAATTCATCAAAGTTATGTTGGAAGTTTTAAATAACCATAAAGATAACACAAGTAAAGAAACTGATGTTAAATATAAAAGTGCTCTCACAAGTGCTGTACAATAAATTCCAACTTTTTCATATTTTCTATAAGCAAGACAGCCATGGACAGTTCTACACACAATTAACAATATACCACATTTAGCATTAAACTATGAAGGTAATGGACATAATACTCACAATTGAGGCCTCTGAAGGAGTGACTCAAACATTACACACAAAAAAAAAAAAAAAAAAAAAAAAAAAAAAAAAAAAAAAAAAAAAAAAAAAAAAAAAAAAAAAAAAAAAAAAAAAAAAAAAAAAAAAAAAAAAAAAAAAAAAAAAAAAAAAAAAAAAAAAAAAAAAAAAAAAAAAAAAAAAAAAAAAAAAAAAAAAAAAAAAAAAAAAAAAAAAAAAAA